TTCTATTGGTGTCTGCACGGTATCAGCCCCCAACTATACTTCTCCAAGACCTTAAAGAAAAGCGTTTGCCAGAGTCCCTCTTTCTGGAGAAGAGGGTCGGAGTAGCAAGGGGAGAGCCACATCTAGACGATGCCTGCCATCGCCACATCTGGACAGATTCAGTGAAAGAACAGATTTTCCAATTTCTCTTCGGGCGCACACGGTAACATGTGAACACATCTCCAACACACACAATTAAACAGTAGCCTTCTCTGATATTTTTTAATGCTCAAAGACTATAGAAAGTGAGGATATAAAGAACCTTAACACCAACCTTGAAGAATATACATCAGATCACAGAAAAACAAACCAAAGCTCCTGATAGGAGGCTGACCTGCCTTCCAACCTCAGGGCCAGCTTGTTTTCCAGCACGATCGAGTTCCAGGGGAGCCTGAAGGGAGGCTCTCTAGCAGGCAGCTGAGTGTTTACATGTGGACATCCATGTCCCAAAGTTATGTCCAACCTGAGTGAATTTGTAGCTGACATAAAGTGCTTCTTCTGTCCTGCAAGCTAACTAGCAGATCATTCCTCAGAGCAAGGGAAAACATGCACGATTTGCTGACTGTAATTTGTCTTGATAAAACAAGCATGCATGGAATTTTCTAATAATAGCTAAGCACTGAGGGCAACGGAGAGGTATGAAAAATATAATGCAAGACCAGAGCCGAAGGAGAACCGCAGCAGGAATCGGTGTGATAGGAATGAAGTGTGTCATGGTCTGCAGGAGGGACAGGAAGGGGACAGGTCAGACAAAGGATGCTGGAGGGCTGCCATCCATCACAAGGGACAGGGGACAGGGAAGGGACCCACACAGAGCAGTGGAGAGGCCAAGAGCTGCTCCAGGAGAGAGAGGAGAGCTGGGGGTAGGGTTTAATTTGGGATGACAAGAACAGGCTAAATGGGACCGTGGTCATCCTGCGAAAGCTTTGTCAATGTGCTGGAGTCTACGGCATCTCTGAAATGTAACGATGTAATACAGGAAAACTTTAGTCCAATAAAGCTGTTAGGAAAGAACCCAGCAGTGGCACTAGTTGCATAGAAAGTATAAAGGAGAAAGAGTAACAGCACACAGTGAAGTTATCACTAATTCCAGAGTGATAGAGCGACCGGAAAGGCTTTCCTCTGCAGATGCCTCAGGACTGCTTTTTTGGTCCTAGAAATGGAATCCTGGGGTCGAGCACGCTAGAAAAGGACTCCAGGCCAGCACTACGGCTCTCACTGCTCGCAGCTTCAAGCCATCACTTCTGAGCAAAGACAAGGGAAAGAGAACCCTGAAAACCTGCCATTCTAAAGCAAAATGAAAGAGGAGCCACATCGAGCAGCTTCTTAAGAACAGCATTCAGGCCTCGCCAGCATTCGCCAACGTACTACAACAAACCCATAAAGCAGGCACTATCCTTTGTCCTTACACAGTTGAGATACGAAAAGTTTAGGCAGCCTCAGAGGCACAAAAGGAATTTATGATAAAGTGTACATTTCAAACAAAATGTTTAATTCATGATTACCAAATTTAACTTGATATATTGATTTCAAAACCGGAAAATCAGTATATACTTCTCAAAAGTCAAAACGTCTCCAAGTTTGAGTTACAGACAGAAAAGTTAAAAAAAATTAGTAAGGTGGGGCCCTAAGTTGGATTCCCAATACCAAAAAAAAAAATTAATAAGATTAAAAATATTCTGCTGTCTCTAGCGTTCTAAAGCCAAGGATTACATCACTCACTTTCCATGACTGGTGCTCCAACATGAAATCAAATCCATTAGCGATAAGCTTAACAATAAATGAAAGAACAGAGCCATGAATGAGGAAGTACAGCCTATTGTAAGTAAACCAGATAAACCTCTCGCAAGCAAATCCGTATGCTTCACGAAAGGGAAGACTGTCAGCTTTTCGAGGAACTCACTGCTCAAGTATGTCACTAAGACAATAATTACATTATTATCAAATTTATGCCTCACATGCCAAAATTTTGACTCAGTTACTTACCTCAGACTTACAGTGAAACAGAAAAGTCTAATCCGTACTCAGTGTGACACTTTAGAGTTGAAAAAAATGTTCCCTGGCCTGTTCAGCTATAGGCAAATAGTTATAGTTTTCAGTTTTGTTTGTATGTTTGACTCAGCTTTTTGTGTTTTGTTTTGCTTGTTTTGCAGTGGAGAGAATTAAGCCCAGGACCACGCACACGCTAAGCTTGCGGATGCTAGATTCAGTCCTGGCTCTTTAATACTTCTGATCATTGTAGACTTTGCAAAATTTTGAGTCCAGTTCTAGACTTTTTCAAAAGACAATCTAAAGATTAAAAGGCAATCTGCAAAGTAAGATTTGAAGAAGATACAAAGAATTTTTTCCCCACTTTTCTTATCTGTTATTGTACCAACTGAAGTGAGCAATCTGCAGCCACCAGACAAGCTCAACCACAAGACGCCGCTTTCCTGCTGGTCACCTCAGGCAGCTCCTGTGTGACAGCCTAACTCCCACTCAGTCCACAGCACCTTAAACACTTGCTGTTAGATGCACTAAGAGCAAGTCTGTGGCTCTTGGTGCACACAGCGCTCCATGTTCTTAAAAAGAGAAATTTAAAGCAGTTTTGAATGACTGTATGTTGGTAACAATGTAAGTGGACACTGAATTTACAAGGAAGCCTGTTTGGCTCTTATCCATTATGAACTGTCTGTCTGGAATCTGTTACTTTAGATTTTATTTGTCATTAAATGTTTGGCATCCGTGCTCATGCAGGAATGAAGGCCATTTCCTGCAAAAACAGAAAAGTATTATAAAAAGTTTTTCAAACACCCGCTTAGATAATTTTTCACAGAGCCAAAAACGAAAAAGATAGTGGAGGCCTCATACTTATGGAGACAAAGAAAAATATCTTCTTGTATATTCAGCTTCTCTAAGCAGTTAAAATCGAAAGCATGCTGGACCAACGCTAGTGCAAGCTTCTCTGGAGTGGAAGGCCGACGGCAGGCAGTGGGGTCAGAGCCACCGAGGCAACAGCTCCTAGCTGTGCCTTGGCACTTTCTCCTCCCCTGTGCAGGCAGGGAGCCCGAGCTGCTGCCAGGAAGGGCCAGCCAGGGAGAGTCTATGGATCCCTCCTGGGCACTAGGAAACCTGCACGCAGCCAGCCCAAGAGGCAGGATCCTGAACCCCGTTCTCCATGGTGGATAATGACAGCTGGAGTCACCCACACTAACGCTACGCATAGGAAAGAATGAACATGAACGCCCGGATGAGTGTTATCGTTATGTCAACTGACAGTATTTTCCTTGCAAGAGCATAATCTTGCTGCAAATTTATTTTTAAAAATACTCACATGACTTTATTTTTTACAAAAAAAAATAAAATTGGCAATTCTAGCTTTTATTACCTGAACAGCTTTCAGCTTCAGAATAGAGTTCAAAGTTAAATCACAGTTGAAATATAATGGTGCTTTAATTAAAATCAGTAAGTAAAGGCCCAGGGAGATAGTAGAATAAGTGCTTTGCCTTGCAAGCGCAGGGTCCTGAGTTCAATCCTTGGTACCAAATACATAAATAAATAAATAAATAAATAAATAAATAAATAAATAAAATCAGTAAGTAACTGTTTAAAGTAGAAAGTGAAAATATTCTTTTTGGTAGTTATCAATGAAATCTACATATTTTTTAGTTTTCATGTCCTAGAAAAACATATGGCCAATATGAACTAATTTCTTCAATTAGTTTGTAAAGTTTTTATGACATACTCGTGAAGCGCAATTTTCATCTCTCAATTTACCAATTATCTAAGCTGATAATGGGTAGGACACACGCGTTAGCCATACTTAAATTACATAATGACTTTTAGTAGCCACTTCACTCTGTTCTTTAAATTCTAAACATTGTAACTGTCATTGTATATCCTCCAGGAGACTTGAGAATTTATTTTACAGAACAGAAAACGTCCTCTGGGTGCTGTATACATTGCTTCCATACATCCACAAAGGAAGTGGTTTAAAAATAAGCCTAGCCTTTAATGATTTGCTTACGACCATGTTTTTGGTTGGTGTGCCTTCTCTATACCTAGCGACCAAACTAAAAATTATGAAGTGACTAGGAAGATGGAACAAATCCAAATCTCAATGTAACCTTTAAAATATAAGCCTATAATTGCCAAATATTGACTTCTCTTTATACTAAGAGGATGTGCCCTCTGGGTAGTATAAATATCTTATGAAACATGAAAAAGATAACAACACAGATCCAGGAGATGTGCTTGCGCTCAAGACCCTAGTCGTCCCCATAGCAACAGATAATTGTAAGAATAACCGCAGTTGTGCTGCTGCATAATAAGGCCTGTTAGACTTGAAGGCTAATAATAGTCCTGCGCTTAGAATGAAACGGAAGGGAGTCAACACCTACTTGAGATAGCAAAATGAAATCAGAATACGAACTACAGATCTGTCCCTCTGTCCACCCAGGTGGTCCTTTCCTCAGCTCCCTTCCCTTTGACATAAGGATCTATAGACGGTTCTGTGACAGCCAGCTTAGCTAGCGCCACAGCAGGCTAAATGCCGATTTCAAACGCCCCAAGAGGTGCACAGAGGCGAGAACAGCGGCATTATTTCAGGGCTTGCCGCATGGCTGGGTTGGGATCGCAGTTCACACCTGCAGTCTGGTTCAGAGCTCCAGACAGAAACTAGGACGCTGTTCTAGGCTGCGTCACGGCTGAGAAAGAAAAGCCTCTACATAGATGATAAAGAGGGAAGGAGCAATTGGGGAAATTAACCAGAAAGCATTCCGCTCTCCCCTATTTTCGGAGCGGGAAGATGCCGGCCGAGACCGCCCCGCCCCGCCGCCCGCTCGGTCGCGCCGGGCTAGCAGCTGGGAGCGCGGGCTGCGCGCGGTTCCCACGCTCGCGGGCGGGGCCTGACCCGGGGCGCGGGCGGACTGCAGGCGCGGGCGGACGGCGGGCGAGGGCGGACTGCCGGCGCGGCCACTTACTTGATGTCCTCCCACACCTCCGGGCCGTAGTTGCGGATCACCAGCAGCTCCAGGGCGTGGTTCACGAACCCGTACTGCGGGACAGAGAGGGGCGTCAGGACGCGCCAGCCCAGGATCCCCGCTCCCCAGAGCCCCGAGTCCCGAGGTCCCCGCGCCCTCTGGCGGCAGAGCACGGCCCGCACCGGTCACCTGTGCGGCGCCCCGCACTGGGACCCCGCGGGCCTCGGGGGTCGCGGGGCCAGGCGCAGCCCAGCGAACCCCGCGGGGCTCAGAGGCAGAGCCGCTGCGCAGCGCACCCCGCTCCCATGGCGCAGTGCCTCCATGTCCTCGACCGCATCCCGGCTGCACCGTGCTCACCATGGTGTCCGCCGGCCAAGCAGCGTCCTCCGGGGGGACGCAGCGGACCGCACGGCGGCTACAGCGGCGACAGCGAGCTAGGGCGACGGCTCCTGGCGCGGCCTGCCCTGAAGGACACCTCGTCTGGCCAATGGCTACTCGAGCCGCAGGGGGCCGGGCACCGCGGGCGCGTTCGCAACCAATCAGTGGCCGAGAAGGTAATTTGGTGCCCTCCCCCCTCGCCCGGCGCCTGCACCGCGAGCTGGGGACCAGGCGGGTGTCACAGCTGAGGGCTCTGCGGGGCCTGCGGGAGGGGCCGCTGCTGGGCCCCTGCTGCGCGCATCCGGGGTCTGGCCTGGAAACCACTCTCAGGAGCGATGCGCGTGCACGCGCGTGTGTGAGCTGTGTACAGTGCATGTGAGCGCGAGAGAGCTTGTGTGCGTGTGGTGTGCTTGTGTGCACGCCCGCGTGTTTTGTGCGCGTGTTGTGAGCGCTCGTGTACGCGCGAGTGCGTGTGAGCTTGTGCACGCGTGATTTGTGAATGCGCGCCGCGACGCTCCGTAGAGGCGCGCTTTCCTGATCCTCTAGGGAGCAGCGTCGCCCACGCCAGCCCGC